TTCCGATGGCATGCAAAAAGACTGTATCATATGTTCGCATCACGTGTTTCCCATCAGTTGTTGTCAGTTATCCCCTTCAGCAACTGGTAAAGAAGGGTTACAAGCGCGTCAAACGCATGCACTCTGCACGCCCAATCATCCGCAACGAAGAGGACGGTTATTGATGTCGCTCTAACGAATCCCTCCTTTGGTTTTTTATGCCCACGGTTCGCTTATTCGCTCAACGAAGTTAGGTGCAAATACCATCTCAGAAAGAAAATAATACGTACTGCCCTCACTCATTAATAAGAAAATGTCATGAATGACTAGTGAGGGGTCAAATATCTCAGCTGGGGTCCGAACTGGACGGTGCTCGGCTTAGGGGAGGGGGATCGCTTTGCTATGTTGCTAGTTCGTTTCGCTAGCCTATGTAAACTCATGGGTTTCACTTCAATGACACCTGTAAATTCCTGTGAAGCGGCGAATCGGTACAAATGAGCCACTTTAGCTCCAGAAATTCACAGGTGGTTGAAAGATGGCCTGCACAAGCTTCGCTGCATCCGTGAGGTCGAGCTGCGTCTTAAGCTGTGCAAAAGATTGCGGCGGAACAACTCTGTCAGTGCCTTACCTAGATCTTTGATGAACGCGCACATATATTATGAAAACCGCGGAAATTTCCTTGGTGGTAATTTTAACAACAAAAGATTCGTTCTAAAAGTTCAACAGCAGCATTTACCCAGTAGAACCATAGTTTGGCAGTTGTGCGACCAGACAAGCTGCCACAATTCCGCGCATTCCTTTGGCCAGTTTACCACGAGAAATTCGTCGGCTCGATGATAACCCTGGAACAAATAAGCGTCAGAGGACGATTCCAAAATTTCTACTCAAGGTGTTTCTTTACGCGTACAGGCAGCATTATGTAGTCGACAGGTGGGGAACACGGTGGATTGTGATGGCACTCGCAGAGATCCTGAAACCAGTAAAGGATTTCATCGTGATAACGGATAGAATATTTCCTGAAGTCATCTAGTCGCCAGCTCATGAAGCTTCGCGGTGCACTTCATGGTATGAGAGGCATGTTTGATTTGAATTTGTTGGGTAAACTGATCTTTAGGTTAGCATTCCAAGCAGGGCTCCTTCTAGGCGCGGATATCTGCCACGACATATCCTCATTCAAATATATGCAATTCCCTTAAACAATATGGTACCCCCAATACGGTACACAGACCACGTACTGCACATGGTGCAGCACGCTTTTCCACGGAACTGTCTCACAACTTCTCACGCGCGAATGTCCCTAGAATGTACCTTCAGGCTTGAAAAACAACATATAATGGTTCGAATGTAAATGTTGAAAGGCTCTCATATTATTGCTCCTTTTTATAAGTAAATTCTGTGGCACCCTTGCTTACTTCAATTTCTTGCCACGAAGATGGGGAGGGAGTGGCTACATATAGTTTGCAACATTGCAATCAAGGAGGGAAGGCGTGGCGAAGGCGGAACGATCCCGCTTATGGCGGCCTACCAATGGTGATCGGGTAGTGATCGATTCAGGATGAAAGAGCCAATGGTAGAAACACCGCAGGCGAGGACCGACTAATTGCAGTGGTATAAACTGTACCATTTGAATGTGGCGGCGGCTCCACTCTTGGTAGGATATCGCTGTTAGTTGAGCATTGTAATTATGTAGCGCATTAGAGAGCATGACAATGAAGAGAAAGGATTAATCTTCGCCGTTAATCAATCATTTTTTTCTGAGTTGCGACTCGCATTCTACTTCCATTTGAGGTCGTAAAGACTTATTGAATGCGACGTGACCTGTTCAATTATTTGCGCAGGTCAGCCGATGTATAAGTTAGTGTGCTTATCTTCCAGACGAATCTGGTACCCAACGCACACCGTTCCCGGAGAGTGAGGGCTTGGTTGGCCTGGGCGGGAGTCCATCCAGCATTATAGTTGTCTCGAATGGAACTATTTCACGAAAAACGTGCAACGCCATGCTCGAAGCACGCGCCCACGTCCACTCCATCTTCGAGATATGGACTGTATCCCCCCATCCCCGTGGTCAATAGATTTGAAACACCTTGTGAAATGGCTAGGAAGACAAAAAGCGATCGATCCTCGCAATCAGTCAGGGTGGCTTCATGAGGGATGGAGTGAGCCCATCCGTAACCTTCCGCAACTGGTTAATTCTAATTCGATCACTAACCGATCACCATTGGTATGGCAAGCCAGCCGGAGGCGGGCTAATCACGCCCTTACACCGCCCCGCCTGATTGCGACGTTGTGAATTATATGTCAGTATTACATGTCCTTTATCATTTAAGTGCATAAAAGATTCACAAATGATACGGGAAGTATGCGATGTTCCAATATTTGTTTATACTTAGCGCCTCAGCACCCAGAATACCGAGTAGTGAAGAAGGGCGTCCACCTGCGCCAGAAAGGGAAAACGCCGCGGGTGCAATGGGTTCAAGACACTCCCCGAGACCAAGTGATGAGCGAAATGCCTCCGTGCTTGGCATCGTTGTCCACATTCGCAGAGAATATACACTTTGGCCACTCGAAATGGCGAGATAACGAAGCTAGAGACGCGTGAGTTTTGCAACCGGTGCAACCGCGTACTGTAACTCTGCAAGACAACGGCTTACAAGCGGAATTGCGTGTGTACATAGCGTTGCCTGGAGCGTCGTAGGGCGATTTCCTATGCTCTTGCCGGGTTACG